CATCATTACAATATATACTCATTCTTTGTGTCTGTTCACCAATTCCTCATTAGCCTCCCTTCCCTTCCCCTACCCCTCCCCTTTTCCACCTCTAGTAACCACGCTTCTTTTCTCTCTAAGTGTTCAATTTATTACTGTGAACGTAATTGTTTCTTTCTCTCTGTCTCTCTTTATTGTTTATTTGTTTATTTATGGATTCAACTCCTGATTATGAGTGAGAACATGCGGTGTTTCTCTCTCTGTACCTGAGTTGTTTCACTTAGGATAATTTTCTCCAGGCTCATCCATGTTGCTGCAAATGGTGGACTTTCATTCCTTTTTATGGCTGAGTAGTATTCCATTGTGTTTTTATATCACAGTTTCCTTATCCAGTTGTCCATTGATGAACATTTAGGTTGGTTTCACAGCCTGGCTATTGTAAATAGAGCTGCAATAAACATGGGAGTGCGGGTGTCCATTCAACCTGATGTTTTCCAATCCTCTGGATATATCCCCAGTAGTGGGATTGCTGGATCATATGGCATTTCTATCTGAGTTGTTTGAGAAACCTCCATACTGTTCTCCATAATGGCTGTACTAATTTATAGTCCCACCAACAGTGCAGAAACGTTTCTCTTTCTCCACATCCTTGCCAGCATTTATTATTCTCTGTCTTTTTTATAATAGCCAGTCTGATAGCCAGTCTGAAAATACGTTTCGGTCGTTCTTCCCAAACATTGGTGTATCTCCATCTTGCACCACTCCCAGGCAATCTAGATGCCCAGATCTCACTTCCTAGTCAACACCTCCACCTGGATATGTAACAGGAACCTCAAATGACATATATCCAAAACATTTTTGTTTTTTCTAAGTCTTTCACCCTCCAGGTCATTCCAATCTCAGAAAATAACAACTCCATCTTTTTTGTGTGTTCAAACCCCAAACCCTCAAGTTATCCTTTGAATTATTCTTGACTCTTGCTCACCTGTTTTTCTTATCATCAAAATATGTCCAAGAACATGCCACTTCCTGTCACTCTTCCTGCTAATACTTTAAGGCAACATTATTTCTTGGGTGAATTACTGCACCCCATGAAGGTAAGGATTTTTTTTTTTGGTGGCTAGCCTGTATGGGGATCTGAACCCTTGACCTTGGTGTTATGATAACACCATGCTCTAACCAACTGAGCTAGCAGGCCAGCCGGTGATTTTTAACTGCTTTGTTTTTGGCTATTCCCAGGGTTTGGAAAGGTGTCTTGAACGTAGCAGGCATTTAATACATATTTGTTGAATTAATGAATATTTTTTTCTGTCATCACATCTGGAGAATTCTCATTTATTATGTCTGTGAATAATGCTTCTTCTCCCTTCTCTCATTGTTTCCCTCTCTATCCCTAGCAGCCACGTGGTAGAACTGCTTTCTCTCCACTATTTTCTTCCTTTCATATTTTATGTTTTCACCCCCCTCCACCCAGCTTTATGGATGGTTTCTCTAGTTCAGTATTTACGTTTTCAGTTCTAATTGGTTGTTTAACCCATTTATTATATTTCTCACTTCAGTGTTTACATATTTAATTCCTAGAAGTTTTCTTTAGTTCCCTTTTAAAGCTGCCATATCTTTTGATATTTTTCTTAGCTATACAAGGGTACTTCAAAAAGTTCATGGAGGCTGGCCGGTTGGCTCAGTTGGTTAGAGCATGGCCCTGGAACACCAAGGTCAAGGGTCTGGTTCCCCGTATGGCCAGCTGCAAACAAAACAAACTAGCAACCTCCCCCAAACCAAAAAGTTCATGGAAAGATTTGTATTATCTTTTAATTCTATATTTCCACAAACTTTTTGAAGTACCCTCATGATTATGTTGCCCTCTTTTTTGCCCTCAGATTAATTTAAAAAATATTTTATAACTGGTATTCATCAATCTCTACTATTTGAGGGACTGATTCTCCTTTTTCTTGTTTTGGATATCTCTCATTTATTCTCACGTACAGTGGATTATTTCCTGTGTGTTCTTTGATTTTGCATTAGAAGCTCAGAATCACTAGAACATTATCTCCAAGAAGACACTCAGCCCTGTGTGTAAGGTATATTCTTCTCAGGAACATGTGTTTTACTTTGCCAGGTTCCCGTCTACCAGGGAATATCTCAAACTAAACTCACTGCTCGCATTAGAAGCTCAGAATCACTAGAACATTATCTCCAAGAAGACACTCAGCCCTGTGTGTAAAGTATATTCTTCTAAGGAACATGTGTTTTACTTTGCCAGGTTCCCGTCTACCAGGGAATATCTCAAACTAAACTCACTGCTCTTCCCCCTAGAGCAGATTGAGTTTTATTCTACCTGGAGCCAAGGCTGAAACAGATACATTTTAGTCCTATCTCCTTTTGTATTGATTTTTTTTCTTTCTCTTTTGCTTGTTAGCTTATCTACTGGAGATATTGTTTTGGAAGTCTGACATTTTTTTCAGGGTTGTATGACAACTGAACTTTACCCCCACTCCCCCTATAAATGGACCATTAAAACCAAAGCTCTGGATCATCATAGATTGTTAGGTGTCCCCAAGGCGACGTCTTGCCTCAGCACCCAGTTTCCTCTCTGGATTTGTGATTTGTCACCATTTTTGGCATTAGAAGATTTCCCTTATATTTTAACAAGACATGCTATGCCTTAAAAACATTAAAATAATTTTCACTACTTTCAAGAGTGTTGTATTTGAAGATTTTTTGACCGTTTGCCTTTAATATTGCTGAAAATGGATGTCCTTAGTTATTTCTAGCATAGATTATAAGGCTCTTGCAATAGAAGGCACACTTTTACAAATAGGGCCATTACCGCTCTTCAAAATGACTAGATAATTAGGTTGGGACTTGTGACTTATTAATTGCTGTGTTACAGGGAGGATGTATGGTTGAGATATTTGGAATTGTGGACCAGAGATAGGATGGGGGAGTTCCTCTACTGGAGGCAGAGAGCACTGATAGAAAACATTAAACTGTATTAAATGTAGACTTTGACTTTCAAAAGCAAGAAACAAGCCTCCAGGGACTGGAAATGGAGTAGAAAATCCAATCTGTGACTGACCATCTGATATTTTGGTGTATTCATGGTACTGAGTCTAAAATATGTAGTCGCAACTGGGATTTCCACTCCTTTGAGGGGACTGAAAATTGGCCCACTGCCAGTGATCAGAGGTTGGAGAGGCACTGATCACTATTTCATGGTTGTGCCTGTGGTTGTTGAAGGAAAGACAGATTGAAATTGGCAATGAGCCACTGTGTGATTGCTTAGGGATTAGACCCGTGACTTTCCAGAGAGATAAGTTACAGAATTCCAAAAGCCTTGATTTTGAATTGTGGTTCTTGGAGGACTAGGAAGTGTGAAGTGTAAACTGTAAAAATTACAAATGTGGGACACAAAAGAAGAAGTCCCATTCAAAGTGTGCCCAGCAATGAAAATTACTGAGCACATGAGGCAACACAATGTGTTAAAAACAAAAAATGGAAGATTTTGCTTGAAAGGAAGTTGAATTAATTGAGCTATTAATTAAAGTTCAAAAAACTTCAAAATACGAACCATGGCATACCATTCATGAAACAAACTTAGGAGTTTATGATACCAAGTGGGGAAGTTTTTGAAACAAAAAGTAAAAATCTTGGGAAAAAAAATACAACCTCTGAAACGAAAACTTTCTCATAGAAGTATAAACAGAATACTGGAAGCAGTCAATGAAGAGTAGTTAATTTGATTAAAGAATAAAGAAAGTTGAAATTGATAAGGTGTATATACACACACAATACACATATGACATTAAGATGTTAAGAGTCATGGGAGATTGATTGGGTAGTGCCATTATATGTCTGATTGGATTTCCAACATGGGGATGTATGGGATATTCCAGGAGATAGAGTCTAAGGTTTTGTAGGATTTCAGGCAAGAGATAATTTCCAATATTAATAGTTAAAGTCTATCAAGCCAAATAAAAACAGTCTATCTCTAGACACATTATAGTAAAACTGTAAAACACCAAAGGCAAATAAACATTTTTAAAGTATACTAAAATGAACAGTCAAATCACATATAAAAGGGGTAACTTGATTAGCAGAAGACAATCCTGCAATGAGAACAAAAAATAGCAAACAATGGACTAGCATCTTAAAGTAGTTAAATATCATTTTAGAATTCAGAATGAATATGCAATTAAAACATTTTCAGATATACAATATTCAGAACTTTATCACATAAAACATGTTCAGGTTTACAGAACCAAGATATTTACCATACATAAGACATAGTGGAAAGAACTATTAAAGGATATTCTTCAGCGAGAAGAAAATTGAGGTTAGACCGAGAGAGTGGAATATAAGAATAAAAAGGCAGGAAAGAATCGGTAAGCGTGGTAGTACACCTGAATAGTTATTGATGTTTTAAAATGAAATGGAATCACCTTGTTGACTTCAGCTTCAGTAGTAATTTACTTACTTTATAAAAACATGAAGCAAATATGGTAATAAATTCACGTTTTAAAAGTTAGAAGTTTGGTTTACATGAGAAAAAACTCAGAATGGAATTTAAAAGTTATAAAATAACATGTATCTGTCTCTGGGACTTTACGAAAAAAATAATGTGGAATGGCAGGAATGAAAACATTTTCCATTAGTCTATTAGGTGGAATCACCAGATGAAGTGATTTAAAAAAGATATACATATCCCAATGCATGTTGAAAACATCTGAAAAAATTCAACATAGTTTTTCATTTATAAGAAGTAAACTGACTGGAAGAGAACTTCTTGAGCAGGTTAAGAGGTTGCTATGAACAAATACCATGCAATCGTGTATAGTAACCATCATACAGTTTGGCAGTTTACCAGGAGAGCAACTGGAAACACTATGAAAGAGAAAAGCCATGGCTTAAAGTCTTTATAAATTAATAGGAAAACATACAAGGAAACTCACAACATAAGTGGATTTTGAGAGAAAACAACTGATGCAAAACTAGGGGGAATGGAGGGGAGGGACTGAGCATGGTCTTGTCAAGAAGCCCGGAAATCTGAAAATACATTTTCTGGTATCCCTGGGCAGATTCTCGATTTCAAAGATGAGGTCTAGAATCTGCTTTCTTTTCCTAAAATCTTCATCTCCTATTATCGGTAGTGGGCACGGAAAAAGCAATCGTTTGCACATGAGGTGCTCGATTTTCAGGTATTGGATATTCAGTGCGAGGGGTTTGGGAATCCTATAGGGCCGTCAGGTTTGTTGTGTGTGTATTTTGGTGGGGCGGGGGTTCATTCTCGAAACAGGCGTCTCCGGGCCTTGCACGGAGGGCGGGGAGAACGCTCAGGACGCTGAGGATGCACACGGGGACTTGGACTCGGAGAGGGAGGCAGAGGGTGGAGTGGTGAGCTGGGGAAGGGCTCCAGAAGGTGGAAGTCCAGGTCGAAGATGGGGTGAGGAGGACGTCTCTCTGGACTAGGGGTGGGGGCCAGAGGACAGGGCTCTGGGATGGGGCCCTGCAGGTTGGGGCTGGACACCCTTCTAGCGGAGGGGTGGAACCTAGCGGCTGAGCCGGCAGGAGGGTCCATCCAGGGCGCCAGGGACTCGGGGTCCTC